ATTTGTCCTAAAAGCTTTCCACAGAATTGGATTTTACTGCATTTCCTTTGTTATCACTTAACATGTTCCTCTGTGCCCGGTATGTCCTGGGGATACTGATGGTTAGACTAGAGACTTTATCAGATCCAGGGAGAGTTTCTGGCAAGACTCCATCATGGGGGGTGTGCACGTGATACCTTTTTGTCTTTTTTTGGTGACATTACTCCTTCAGTAGTTACCAGTTTTCCTTTTTAATTTTTTTCTAGTATCGTGATAAGCTCATGAATTTGATTATATATTTCCAATCCACTGCTATTAGTATTCTTGTTGATGTCCACCACAGGTCTAGCTACTAGCTTGAGGGAGCTTCTGTATATTCTTTTGACGGGGGCCCAGGTGTTTTTGTCAGTCCTTTGGATGTTTGGTATGAAAAGATGCTCCAGACTCATCTTGGGCTATTTTTGCCCTAAATCTGGAACCAGTCGTCCTTGGGGGAGCTCTGCCTCCTTCTTGTAGGAAAGGTGTTTAGAGGCCACAATTTGGGCTCTGAGGGGCGCTTACCAGGTACTGGCTTGTTCATTGTTTTTAGACCTTTTCTGTAAACCAAGCTAGGAAATAAGTGTATTATAAGTGTGCATTTAAGATATATATACAAACATATATGTATATATATGTGTGTGTGTATATGTATGTATATATATATACATGTATCATGAATTCAAGTTGGCATTTTCACATCAAACGCAGAATGAAAGAGTTTTAATTTAACCTCTTTGGTCTTAAAGATGCAACTTGTTTCCTCTTATGCCAAAAGCTTGGTTCCCCAGGATATCAGCAAAATTACTCACTTACTTTCACCAGTAATAAACATACAAGAGTCTCAGAATAACAGTACAATCTCACAAAAACAATACACCACTTCCACAAACACAATAATTACTGAAAATGATTTTTAGTCATTCATTTATTTGTTGCCACTTTTTTTTTTTACTGGTTTATTTATTTTTTTTACTATTTCTTATTATTATGTTTCATTAGCCAACATTTAGTATTATCATTAGTTTTTGATGTAGTTGCCACTATTTTTAGCCTTTGGGTATTTGCTACCAGGAATGTGTAGTGAAATTCCTGTATCGTAAAGTCATTTGAAATAATTCCTTTGTGTTTATGCCACCAATTTGATATACAGTATGGTCATTCATTTCATTTTGCTTTTAATTTTTAAGGAATTAAAAATTATTTTAATAATTATGTAAATATTCACATGGTTCTAGAGTCCAATCCATAAAGCAAATTATACTTGGATAGGTCTATCTTCTAACCCTATCCCCTATATATCACTCTCTCTCTTCTACAGGTAATAATTGCAAGCTTTTTTTTTTTTGGTTTGTCTTTCCATCTAAAAAAACAGAAACAAAATCTACCTATGTATATATCCTTCACTTCTTAAATAATGGGGAGCATATAATTCACTTTTCCCTGTGTTGTGGTTTTTACTTATTTTGAAAATCATTCCATAGTAGTGTATGGAGATATTCTTAATTCCTTTTTATAGCTACATAGTACTCTATTGTGTGAATGTATCATAATTTATGCAAGTGATGCCCAGTTGATGGAAATTAAATGCTTTTATCAGTGGAGTTTCTATACTGAGTAACTCTGTCACATTGTTAAGCAAGTCCTTTGCTTATTTGCATAACTTGAAAGGAGGGACCGTTCAAGTTACGTCCCCATTCTCCGCAGCCTTCTCCGTGCAAGGGCCTGGCTCTATGGATGTATAGTTCCTATACATATGGATCTATACATATGGATGTATAGAGCTGTTAGGTCCCAGGAAGCAAATATTCCTGATAAGATACTAACTAGAGATTTTGTGTGTGTGTGTGTGTGTGTGTGTGTGTGTGTGTGTGTTTTTCAAGATTTAACTTATTCGTTTGGTGGGGGCGAGGACAGAGAGAGATAAAGTGTACACAAGACAGGGGTGAGGCAGAGGAGGAGGGAGAAGTAGACTCCCCGTTGAGCAGGAGCCCCATGACAGCAGGGCTCCATCCTCGGACCCTGAGGTCATGACCTGAACAGACCGAGCCCCCCAGAAGTCACCGAGCTACAGTTTTAATTCCGAAGTTACTTCAAAAAATTTTCCTGAGGGAGAAGAAGGAGTTATTGTTTACCAGGGACAGAGTTTCTATTTGGGATGAGGGAGAAGTTCTATGGACGGATGGTGGTGATGACGACACACATTGTACATAATGGTACCGTACGTAATGCCACTGAACTGTGCACTTAAAAATAATTAAAATGTTAAATTTTATGTGTATATTTCACCTCAATGAAAAAAGATCTATGGGAAACAGTAAAAAAGTCACTAAAAATAGCAATAAAAATTTTGGATGTCAAAAAAATGTTCCCAGTACTTTACTGTGTAACTTTATACTGAAATAAAACTTTCATACATAAAGTAAATGAGATTTTTAATTGGTACAAATGTGCTTTTTTGCAGGGTCAGTTGTAGATGTCTGCAGTAGGGAGATGGCTCCTTTCTCCACTGCTGTAAGACATGAGGGCCGGTCACCTTCCAAGCTGAGTCGTATCTGACATGGCATCTGTACAAATTGCTCTCCGACTTCAATGAAGAGATAGCAAGTTAGCACTTTCCAGACTTATATTTACCTTGCCACACAGTGATTTGGGAATTTTACGGTTTCTAAATGAGGCATTTATGACCAGGAAATCCAGCTCAGTGACAAAGGAGACAAACTGTTATATCCAATTCCTGCTGATGTTAGAGTCGAGGTTTATTACAGTGCGCTGGGGAGGTCAGAGACTTGGGGCAAACCTACATAGGTAATTTTCTTAAGCCCTAAATCTGGATCCACTAATTGATGGGCTGTCGACTCTGGTGAGTTACCAACACGCCTCACCCTGTCTTCTTCATGACCTTGTATCCACCTTTAAAACATGGCCTTTCCACTGACCGAGAATGCTCAAGATGGGCATCACCTTTTTTCCCCTCGACTGGTTATGTAAAAAGCAGCCTTTAAAACCCTTCAAGTAGGAAAAGCAGCTATTTTATTTCTTGTGTAAAGACTCCTCCTCCTTCCACCGCCACAAGTATATGGGGCTGGTGACCATGAACTCACCTGCCAGTCGCTGGGTACCCCAGAGGCAGGCCCAGCCCCTGCAGCGAGAGCTGCCACTTGACTTGGTTTTCTTTGGGACAACGTGGGTCACGGAGAGTGTGTGGACACTCGGCTGCCAATGCGTTGCTGGGATTGAAGACCACCTTGTTTCCAAGTTACTCATCTCAAAATAAGCGAGGAAGCTGATGGAACTCTTGATAGAGCTGAAGAGGAAAAGCCAGAGGCAAGGGGGTGTCTACGCATATTTAGCAACGACTAGAAGAATTCAGAGCCAGACTGTGGCACAACAGTGCATTTAGGCAAATCCTCTGGCAGATCTGATGCCTAGACCTGCCTCTTGAAATCTGCATCGTGGAAAAACACACAGGGGCAGACAAATTGGTCTAACGATTCCCCAGGTACCCAACGTCAGCTTCGACAATTACCAACACTTGTCAATCTTGTTTCATCCACCCACACTCTTTCTTTCTTCTCAAGTATTTTACAGCAAATTTCATAAACCATGTTATTTCACCCCCAAGGACTCCAATATCCTGCCCCTCCTGGGACTGTCAAATAATAAATACCCAATATTCACTACCGGAAAATGAGCAATGTTGTTTTTAATACAGGTGTGGTACAGAATGTTTAATTACAGCAGGGCAGAGATTCTAGTTAAATAAAATTAAAAACCTTTATTTTTCCAAATATAAAATTACTAAATTAATGTCTCAAAAGAAAATATAACATGGTGAAAGCTTTAAAATTACACCACTATTCACCACAGGATTTATGATTTACTGATGACACACTCCAACACTTTGGCAAAAGGATGAAATTTTTTTTAAACAGTTTATAAACCTAACATAGCAAAGACTGTGTACATCTCCATATTGCACTTCTTTATGTACAAGGATAAAACAGAAAGGTCAAGTGTGTTGCATATGCGAAGAGCGGAACAAGTCTGTCACAACTGAACTTAATGCAGAAGCTGATGTGAGGAGATTAAAAATGTAGAAATGTCATATGTGTATGTACAGAATGCGGAGACTGTATGGACAGAGTATGTACATAACTATATACTGTACTACTTTTAAATTTTTAGCATAGTTTTGTGTATTAATAGAGGCCTTTGGTTCTAAACTGCTTGACTAGTTTTAAGCTCACACAGTTTCCTAAGCTTCCATATTCTTTTAAATGCAAGTAGGTGAGTATAAAAGCACTAACCCTCCTTGGCTCACTGGTACAAAAGTTACAACGGTCCGTTCCCTTAGGTCATCAAAAACTAGTCACAAAAATAGTTCTTGTATTCAACCCGAATGTGCCACAGGAAAAAAAAATATGTTCAAGATTTTCCAGTTTTGCCTAGAGGTGGACGTTACTCCAGCCTCCATTTTAGCGCTACTGTCCCTGCTAAGTACATTCCAGAACACTTGTTTACTCCAGGCCATTTATTTTAATACTACTTTGTAAGGAAGAATAAAATTTCACTCCAGCTTAAGAGAGTCCACCAACACCTCTGTTAAGATAGAATGAAAACTTTGAATATTGCCAGCAAGATTTAAAAAAATATGTGTACCCTCCTATGACTCCTCTAGAAAATCTGCTACGAAATAACACAGTTCTTGATTTCCTTTCTCTCCCATTCCCCTTCACGTCTCCTTGCGCTCGGTCATCCCCATGTTTTGCATGAGCCCAGTGATTAGCTTTGGAGATCATCCTGAATTTGCAAATGACAAAGCAAATCCCCACAGGTGATCCATGAGGCAAAGTCACACAACTGAGGACGAGCTGGTCATCCCATGAACCATGGTGCTTGTTGGAGTCCCACTGATGGCATTGAAGATGTGAAGGGAATTCGGTAAGACGCTCGTCTTCTCCTCCAGCGGGCAAATCTTGAGGCATAGAAACACAACATTACCCAGGTGTCATGCCCCTAACGACATTTCTCAATGACAACATTTATTCATTCCCTGATGGTCACTGCTCCCCTGAATGATGGCGCTTTGTGGAGGCACTGTGTCAGCTCAACTAGCAAATGGCCTTTGTCAGATCAGGATCACACAGAGAAAGTCAAGCACGACAGGTTTTGTTTCCTTTACAAATCAGTGAATGGAGCCTTCTAGACTCACCTTCTTGACTCGGCAGATTATAAGGCAGTGAAGCCTGTCTTACACATACTTGGCAGGGACACGACCTAGTCCTGTCCCTTGGAAAAGTCTTTTTAAAAAATGAATCCTGAGCATCTGTTTCTCTACTGGTTCCTTTTCTCAGGGCTTTATGGACTTCCATCCTGGGAAGGAGTGAGCAGCTGCCCGTCTGACCCGGAACAAGTCTCTCTTCACATTCGGTAATGCAGGGGAGAATTCTAAGGGCAAGACTTGACCTACCGCCAGGCGGCAACTGAGAAGAACATAAATGTTCAGAGGCTCCCCTGGAAAATCCCAAAGCAAGTCTACTCCAGGTCATAACCCTTTTTTGCTTGAGGGTTCAAAAGAGTATACTCTTCCTAGTTGTTGAGATAATGGAAAGTTCAAGGTGCAGTTTCTTAGAGTACAGCCCTGTGTTAAATGTCCAAATAACATGGGAGTTTACGTCCACATTATCAGTCCGTATGTTTTTCCTACTTTCATCTCTTCTGGTGCCAAACGCTGACACCGACTGATCAAACTCCGTTACACAGGAACCTGCAAGCTCTGTGGAAAAGACCCCGAGCTTTCTCCAAACACTTGCTTCCACGAGACCATCCCTTTCTGCTTAATTATTCATACATTTCTTTCTTTCATCATTTCCATTTTTTTCTACTTTCCTAAAGGTCCAGAAGAGGGTGGCTCCTTTTGCACACACACTGTCCTTATGCCAACGTCTACAGTTGTTCAAACACAGTCCTAACTTTATGTAAGGCAGTCTACTGAGGTTCCGAAAAATAGAATTGAAAAATGACATTACCATCCCATCTGATTGTGTCAGCATGGAGGAGGGAAAAAAGCACACAAGTGAGAGCTTAGACATTTACATTAGTTTCCCATGACAGAAATGTCCTAACTAGACTACCACATGATATGTTAACTGACACAAGTGGGCCTGGCTTCCATTTGCAAGACTGAGAGACCATTATGAGGGAACAGACAAAAGTCGTTACATATGATGGAGGTGCTAACGTTGCTTATTAAGACTGGCACCATGACTCGGAGGTCATCGCTGTGGTTGATGGAAAATGGACCTCTGAGAAAGCAATGCTGTGGCAGTTGCTCTCTGACATTCAGTCGGCTGCCCAGCCAGCTGTCCCCTCTGACTACTGAGCCCACATAAGTAATCCTACTGGAAGGAACCCCTACAGGAAGGTGATAGCAGCAACGTAACTGGGAAGGATGCCCATCATGACAGAAGCAGCCGTGAAGAATCCACTGGGGCACCCAGGTCAGCTGTAAATAGCCAAAACCTGAACAACTCTATTTTTTGAAGTGGCAAAAGTCATTTAATGCAACAGAATATTCCTTAAACTGGGCTGGTAAATCCTGGTCTTTCAAAGGATTGGGTGAATGAAAAAATTTCTAGGAACACTACGGGTATTTCTTGCGAGAGCTTTGTTTTGTTTTAAACGAGGTTAGTGTGGGGAGGGACAGAGCTTTGAACCATGGCCAACTCTGAGCGAGACAAAAGGGAGGTGGGCGCTGTCCTCCTCTGGTCATATTGGCTGGTATCAGGTGGGTGAATTGTTAGCTGTTCCCCCAAGTAACCTGTGTTCAGAAAGTAGCAGCAGATAGCATGCTACCTTCTTCTTCAAATATCAAATTTCTAGAAGGTTTAGGCCATCACAGGGTGTATCCGAGACCCCAACTAATGTGTGCTTGCTCAAAATGAGAACCCTAGCACGGCACCTACCTGCTCATGCATGATTTCAGAAAGCTCTTTTGCCATCTCCCTGTAGTTGGCCTTCATTTCTTCCTGGTACTCTAACTGGTCTTCTTTGATCAGACGCTCATTTATTGCTAAGGCTTGACCACAAGCTTCCACAAATTGCCTAAAATGGTGTGAGAGAGGGAAATAAAGATAAGTTGAGGACACAGAGTGAGTCCAACTGGTAGTATCTTTTTCTTGAATGAGCACAGAAATGACTGATATTTGATGAGAGAAAGACATTTCCAGTGCGCTTTACCTGAAAACTTCTTTAAGCAGCTTTACTTTGTTGTCTGGGTATCTTTTTGTGTTTGTGTCATCTAAGAAAGCTCGGGCATATGCTAGTGGGCCTGCGTTGACCTAGATAAAGAACAAATATTTAAAATGATGTTATAATAAAAATGACCATTATCACTGATTTGGTTTCAGTCAGCAGGTTCTAAAAATGCCATTTGAGTTAGTCATGATCCGTGTCCTCCAGGAACGGACAGCCCAACGAGGAAACCATGGACAAAGCTTATGTTGTTCTATGTCATTTGATTTTATCAACTCAGACATCATCAGGGCACTTGAGATGATGGCTCATTTTATGAAGGAAGAAGCCAAGTTTGGAAAACAGAACCATCTGTTCAAGGTTGAACATCCAATAAATAAAAGATCAGAGCCCAAGTCTTCCAACTGGTATTTGTGCTACTCTACATTGAACTAACATCGATCTGGTGAGTTTAGTGAAAAGCCAAAGAATATAGTATATTTTTGGTTTTTAAAAACCAACCATTTGCCTCTGTGAACTGTGTAGACGGCCATGAGCAAACTGCCTTGCTACCTTCAAATGAAGTAACCATGTGAAATGGGCTGAATGCCAAAGATTAGGGGCCTCTAACAACAGGGGGAGTGAACCAGAACCCTGCATCTCTCAATCAGCCAAGAAAAGTTCTCTGAAGTTGGGCAGGTTAGGACACATGAGAATGTGGAGAGCAGGAAGGTTAATTAGACCCACTGGGTGGGAAGAAGAAAGTCCCAGGCCTCTGAGACAGTGTGAGAAACAACCTGACCATGTGATTACTGCATCATTTTTCCTGGGAGGTGTGGTGGGCTCAGAAGGTAAGTTAAGTAGGGCGGGCTGTCTATCTGCTCTGTCACTGTTGGCGAAGGAGCTGGGCTGCAGTTCTGATCCACGGTGGACAGGACTTGCACAGCAACGGCAGGAGAACCAGAGACAGGGAGACAGAGGGCCACAGTGGTGGGAAGTGGGCCCTCAGAGACAGGAGCAACTAGCTAACCCTTAAAGGCAACCGCAGGTGTCATCCGCAGGCAACTGCAGGTGTTGTGTGGGGAACTACATTAATGACCTGGGCAATGACCAATTATCCAAAATGACACAATCTACTCAATTTTAAGGATACGTAAAGAAGAAAGTTGATAAGACTTCCTAAGGTCTAACGAAGCAAGATCTTGGAGAATAGAGTCGCACAAGCCACTTGATAGCTCTGTCTTACAGAAGAGCAACCCCAGCAAGGCTCTTGGTGAAAGAATTACAGAAATACAAAAATAAAACGGTAAAGTTAATTTCCTCCAGCTGCAACTTTGTTGTTATCTTGGTGGGTACACATGTACAAAAATCTCCTCATCATGGGGTAATCATCTTTGCTTTTTAAGATGACTGGGTGTTTATATATATTTTTAAGAATTATTTGTTTGACAGAGAGCGTGCATATGCGTATGTGCGGGGGCGGGGGAGGACAGAGAAAGGAGAGAGAAATTCACACTCCTCATGGAGTGCAGAGCCTGCAGTGGGGCTTGATCTCAAGATCCTGAGATCAGACCTGAGCCGAAGCCAAGAGTCAGACGCTCAGTCAGCTGCGCCACCCAGGCACCCTGATGATTGGGTATTTATAAAGCTCTGAGGCTACTGTCAAATGGCAGGGCACATTTTGCCCTTTAGAAAGCTCAACCTGTCCACGCACACCCTTTACTGGCGCCCACACCCCTCTGCTGGTGTTCTGATAGAGGCTGGATGTTCCCGGGCTATGTTACTGAGTGAACGGTTTTGTTTTTTAACTGCAGAAAATTGTGATCTCTGACCCCATTATGTAATCACTCATATTGCTGGAATATTTATCAAATTCACCTGATAACTTATTTTGGCACTTAAGTCTTTCAGGTCATAAGGGAAGAGATTCAAACATCTGTAATTACTTCTGTGGTGAAGGGTATTTAGAAAACGTTAGGCAACAACCCAGTGTGGATTTGATAAAAAGGTGACAAGAACTCATTCCAAAAAATGAACCAAAAACCCCCTAAAGCTTAGCTATTACAATCCAAATGCAACTTTCATAAATGTACCCCTTTTTTCCCCCAAAGATTTTATTTATTTACTTGAGAGAAAGAGAGGGAGAGAGAGCATGAAGAGGGGAGAGGGTCAGAGGGAGAAGCAGACTCCCCACTGAGTAGAGAGCCCAATGTGGGACTCAATCCTGGAACTCCAGGATCATGACCTGAGCTGAAGGCAGTCGCTTAACCAACTGAGCCACCCAGGCACCCAAATGCACCCTTTCTGAAAGAGAAAAGAATTAGCTATGAAAATATGTGTGTGTGTATGTGTGTGTGTGTGCGCGCGCATGTGTGTGTGTGTGTGTAATATATGCTAAAATTATTTATATATACTTAAAATCAATAAAGTCAAGAAGCATACTAATCACTGTAAAGAGGTGATTTAACATTTACCAATTTCCTAGGAAAACACGTAAGTAAGATACCCTTTAAAAACCAGTAACTTTGAAGTATTATATACAAACCAAAAGGTATATATGAGAGCATAGCTTGTTAAATTTTCACAGTTGAACATATATGTATAGTCAGTACTTAGAACAAAAATGATCTTTTCCATAAATGGTGCACATTGCTGGACAGCTATATGGAAAAAAATGTATCTTGCCGTTATCTGTTACCACATACAAAAATCCATTCTGGATGGATTGCAAATCAATATAGGAATGCCAAACAAAAGAAGTAAATATAGAACATTTTCGAGACAGACTTAAGAACCAAGTTCTTACAGAGGACACAAAAATGCTACCACTTAAGGAAAAAGTAATTAATTGAGTTATATTAAAATAAAGAATTTCTGTAAATCAGAAATTAAGAGAGTGAAACTTAAGGTACTTTTCCAGATTATAAATTCATAGAAACCAAAAAACAACAGTTTTATAAGGAAACCTACAGCTTCTTTATATTTAGAAGAGTCTTAATGCTTCTGGTTAGGCCACTCGAATTCCCCAAACCGAAAAAACTGAAAAAAATGGGGGGAAAAAAAAGGTTCATATGGAGAGCTGTCTCAGGGCCCTAGCAGACAGCTCAGGGGGCGCTCTCTCTACAAGTGGAGTTAGGTGGGGGCCCTAGTTTACCGCCCTCCTCTGGTATCAGGAGAAACTGCACAGATCCTGGAAGGTAAGCGGGATCACCAGGTAAGCAGAGAAGCTACACTCAACCTGGCTGGACTTGAAATTGACCAAGGTCCAGATTAGCCTTGGCACCTGCTGCCCTGGGTTTGCTGTGTCCAGTGCTCGGCTCACCTGAACGCTCACGCTGCCCTGCAGTTTGAGCTGCAATTTGATCATGTCCACCTCAGCTGAGGAGCACAGCTGCCGGAACTCGGCCACCTTCTTGCTCATCTCGTCAATGGCCACTTCGATGGGGTTCAGGTCGGTGTGGTGCTGGTACATGACGGGGATCCTCTTCTTCACGTAAGGGAAGCAGTGTATTGCTGTGGAGGAATGGGTCCCAGAATCATTCCGCAGCTCGCACCATCTTTACAGTTACTGAGGTAGAAATACTCAGTAGTCTCATGTTAGAGGTAAGGAACCCAAAGCTTGCCCAAGGCAGAGGCCAGGATTTTGTGGGACCAGAATACTATTTTCCTTTATCACCGCATATGTTTAATGATAGGCTGGATCTTATGACGTCAAAAGAGCTGGGTCCTTGTTAAGCTTTAATGTGAGAAGTGTGTGTTTGAAGAAATCACTTTATCATTACGTGGTCAATTTTCTTAACCATAAATGCTTTCCCTTCCTTGGAAGCTGTGAGATCTGAAAGAGCTAGTATGTAAAAGATGGCTTGGAAGATATAAAGAACAGTACACCATTCTGAGATCTCACAGAACAGATTTTAAGCCCAGAAAATTGCTCCATAAACATATCCTTGAGAACATTCATTTCTCTATAGAACTTTGAATCCCATGCTTGAGTTTGCACAAATCAGAGAAATCCACAAAAAAGACCAAGTGAGACTATATTTCCCAGCAAAGAATTTTAGGAACCAGAATCTCACAAACTACTGAAGTCACACTATGATAAAGATATTCTGAAACATAAAGAATAAAAAACAGAGATAAAAACATTTACTATTTCTTATAGTTTTTTTGCTACAAGAAAGCCAATCAGTATTGTTTTCATTTATCATAACAAGCTATCAGAACGTATCAACACCAAACAGTTTAAAAATGAAGAGAAAAACAGCCAGTTTCTAATTTGGGTCTGTTTCAATTTCTAACTTGTTGCTTTACATGATGTATAAATATCTATAGTACCTTTATTTAATATATGTTTATGAATAGACATAAATCTATATGCTTAACAGCTTAGTTTAGTTTTTAATGAGCAAAGGTAAGATAGGAGCGTTATGTTCGGACCACTGCTCTTTACTAAGTGGCTGGGAGAGTTTACGTAGAAAGGACAAAATGAGAAAACAGGGCCAGCACCATGGAGCACAGAGTTCAGATAGACCATCTGGAGTCTAGAAAAGCCGGAGGTGTTCAGCCTGCCGTAGCCTGAACTGTCACACTCTTACAGGCCTGTTCCAGTCCCTAAGTGTTTCTGTTTTTTTTAACCAATCCAAGGCCAAAGGTCTTGTCTCCTATTTCCTTTGCAGTCCTTGTAGATAGTTTTGAGTGGCAGCCACTGGGATTGATAACCCCCCTTGAACCTAACACTTCTCTGGTAGTGTGACAAGAACCGGGTGTTGCCACTTTCCGCCAGGGAGCAGGGAGATGTGGACAGAAAGTGCTTTACAGATGAGCGCAACTGCAGTGGGTTTGTACCAAGTCCCATGGAAGTGTTTCAGGAGGCTAACGGCCATGTCAAATCACAGAATTTCTGAGGGCTGTGTTGTGACAACGGCACTGCTTACGAGAGAAAAACAAATTCCAAGGATATTTGTGAGCTGTCCGTGGACTATATGGATTTCACTCAGCGTGAAAGTCCTGAGTCTTGCGATGGTAACTGGAGACGTAGAGGAGCAAAGCAGAGTATGATAACACAGAAAACGCAGCGCCTGTGCCTGAGCCCAGCAGGCCTGTGCAGCTGGGTCGCCCCCTGCCTTCCTTGCTGGCCCCATCTTCCCACTCTCCCTCAGAGTCATTCAGTTCCAGCCACGCCGGCCCGCTGGTTGTCCCCTGAATGTGCTGCATACAAGCACCCGCGCCATTGGCCTTGGCCCTGACAGCTCCTTCTCTCTCCAGATGTTTGCATGATCTACCCCCTCACCTCCTTCAAGTCTGGATTGAGTGTCGCCTCCCCAGTTTACGCCATTTAAACTGCCACCCTCCCCAGTCAACCTCGCATGTCTGATCTCCTTTTGCGTTTGTCTAGAACACACATTCACTTCCAGTACAGGAATGTTTACTGCTTGTTGTCTGTCTCCTCCTCCTGGAAGGTAAACTGCAGAGATCTCTGTTTTGTCACTATGGCAGGCTGGAACACTGCCAGCGCCCCATACATTTGTTGAATTAATGAGTGTGTTACTGCCCAAGTGGCTAAATGAAAGAACGAAGTGGCCTGGAAGGTGGCAAATTCGAGGACTGACTGGGTGGGAGGATGGGGAAGAGGTGGCTGAGAGGGGTGGGTGCCTCTACAGTCTGGTGAGACTGAGTAGAACATGAAGAGCCGGACAATACCCGGACAATCCCTCCTGGGATTCTTGACAGGATTTGGAAGACTCTGGAATAGTGAGTGACTGGGAAGAATGTCCACAGCAGGAATTCTGTAGGAGGGGATCAAGCTGGGAGGCAGGCTCAGAAAGGTACAGCAAAGGGGCCTGCAGGGTGATCACTAGGTTTTGCAAATGATCCCGCAATTCCAGCAGACTGACCAATCCAGGGAAGTGAGCCTCTGCCGGGTTCAGAGGGCAGGGAGGGCCAGGGCTCCCCTACAACTTGGACGGTCAAAGGTTGGTTTGAAGCAAAGCAATGGAATTAAGAACCTAAAGAAATAATAACATAAGGGAAAACTCTCAAGTTCAAAGTCTTCAGAATATACTGGTGTATCTTTACTGAAAGTTGATATAGAGCTTACGTGCTAAAGATTTTATTTATATCTTTATTTAGAGAGAGTGAGCTTGAGCAAGCTGGGGGGAAGGCAGAGGGAGAAGGAGACTCCCAAGAAGACTCCCTGCTGGGCGTGAAGCCCGACGTAGGGCTCGATCTCATGACCCTGAGATCACAACCTGAGCCAAAATCAAGAGTTAGACACTCAACTGACTGAGCCGCCCAGGCACCCCTAGCTTATGTGTTTTTAGTGTTTAGTACCATTTAGTACCATTTTTTCCTAACCCATTCTTTAAATCTTTATGATGCCCAACCATGCTTGTGATATTTTGAGATCTTTCAGGACAAAAACTATACTTTTTGGGGTGTTTTGTTGTACTGTCAACCCCTCTGGCGCAGCAGCAGCCTCAAAAGGCAAGGGGCTCAAAGGCAGCTAAGATCCAGCACAATCCAACAAAACAGAGTACATTCTTTCCCCCCCGGTATAATTTACAAAGTTCTTTAACACAAGATGGATAGCGTAACCCTCATTTTACAGGTGAGGGAACTGAGGCACGGGGAGCGGGTAAGTGACTTGCCCAAGATCCCACGGCTGAGCACCGACCCGGATCTGCAGGCCCCCGGCCCGGGCTCTATTCCGCCCACACGTTCTCATCCTCACAGCTGAGCCGACAACCCAGGGGGCTCCTTCACCTCTCTCTGCAGTGCTCAGATTCTGTATCTCCTCCTTCCTGGAAGGCAGGGAGCTTGGCTCTTGTTCAGCCACTCAAAAATATTTCTGTGACCAGATGGTCAACCGTAACCCTGAAGGGAATCTGGCCAGGAAACACCCTATGGTAATAACTGTTTATAGATCAGTAACGCTACCTGAGCGGACTCATGCGAATAAAAAAATCCTCACCCTGACTCATCAGCGAACTTGGCGTATCTGAAGCAGCAGCGCGTAGTTTGCGCCAGAATCCCCTAGCGGGGGCGGGGCTTGTTCAACAGGGCCCACACCCAGAGTTTCGGATTCAGTGGGGCTGGGCGGGGCACGAGAATCTGCATGTCTCGGAAGTTCCTGGGTGATGCTGATGCTGCGGGTCCGGGACCAGTGTGATAAGCGCTGACTTAGTCAGGACAGCTGGAGAGATAAACAGCCGAAGCCAGCAAAATGGCTCCCCCGAGAAACGGAGCTGTCCTAAGAAGAAGAAATCTGCAACTGTGCCCATTAGGAAACATTCACTTCCAGCTGGGGAGGGGTTACCCCTGTCGAGGACAGCGCTGTTTGTGTTTTACAGGTTGTCTTTACTGTAAAAGCAGGAGTAGGGGCTCTTTAAGAATGGAGGCTTTCTGTTTTTTATTTTAACTTTTATCTCAGTTCCTTCCTAGGAAGGGTAGAGGATTCCCCAATACACTGTTCTGAGCTATTTCACGATAAGTCATCGTCTTTCTATGGTAATAGCTTTACTGAGATACAAATTCACCCACTCCAAGTGTCCAAATCAGTGGACAGAGCAGAGGCCCATGTGAAATGCGGCATCTTAACGGTGCTCTCTGCACTCAGCATCACAGGGTTCCGTCTTAGTGACCCGCCGGACCACCCTGCAACATTGACTTCAGGACAAGCGACAGGGACCTTCCTGGTTGAGCTTAATGACCGCTCTTTGAAACACTGGGTGTAGACATACCTGGCTTTCTGAGCAGGCCTCCTCACTGATTTTTTCTGTTTTTTTTTTTTTAGAGTCAAGAAAGTATTTTCTTTTAGGTTATCCCTGTTATGCTGCTGACCCTAACCCACAAGTGGGTGGGTCAGGCTCCCCCAAAGAAGGTAAAAATGATGCCCAAGATGATTCTACACCGCCAGGAACTGGGAAATGATGCAAAACACATTTCTGAGGTTGGGTTCTCGATGGCTACACAGTGTCCAAGAATCTATGAAAACTCAGTCATAGCCCAGCGGAGAGCCTCGGAAGGCAGTGAGCTTCCTGGCAGTGGAGGCATTCAAGCTGAGGTTGGCCAGCCACTCTTGGAGATGAAGTGGAAGGGCTCCAGACTCATATCCCATTTATTCACTCAGCCTACAATCCCTGAGCAGGTTCGTGCTGGGACCTGTGAGATAAAGATACACAAGGGGTCCCTTCCTGTGAGGGAGACACAGAACTGTGTGCAGGGGCTCTTGGGACCCTGGGCCTAGAGAGGTCTAGAGCGGGGTCCACATGGGTTTCAGAAGGAGTCTGTAAATCACCTCAAGACCTGTGCATATTACTCGGAGGAGATAAGGTCCATTATTTTCACCAGATTCTAAAAAGGGTCAGTGACTTGACTCTGTATATGAACTTCTGCTCTAGTCAAAGAAGGAGGTGCTAACAGGTAAGTAGAAAAGTGTCAGGAGTCCTCCGAAGTAAGCACGAGATAAATATTAAACTGAAATGGACACGGGAAAGTTAACGAAGCTCGAAGGGCCCTTCATTCTAGAAGCTTCTGGATCCCTTGTGAAGAGCTCTTCACCTTGGTGTCCAGGCTCATGTCTGGACACGATTCTTCAAGGAAGAAGCCGGGGAACCGTACCTGTCAGGATGGTGCGCCGTTTGCACTGCTCCTCCACCCCGCCCTGCCTCTTCCCCGTCTGAGTGAAGGGCATCTCGAACATGAAGCGGCGAATGTTATGGGATCTCTCAAACTCCGTCTTCCTTTCCTGCAATTCTTTCTCATCAAAGAATGGAATCACATGAGTCACCTGGATGTATGCGTACTTGGAATCCAGATCCTTAGGGTTGACCTTTAAATGAATAAACAAAATGGGAGATTGGTACTACTTGAAAGACTCCTTCCAAGCATCCCAAAGCTTGTCTTTCCACTTTTTATTAATAGAAGATTTGGAGGGGCACCTGAGGGGCTCAGTCGGTGAAATGTCCGACTCTTGATTTTGGCTCAGGTCATGATCTCAGGGTTGCAGGATTGAGCCCCCCCCCCCCCCCCCCCCCCCCCCCCCCCTGGCTGGGCTCCCCCCCACACTACTCAGCAGGAAATCTGCTTGTCCCCGTCCCTCTGCCCCTTCCTGCGCTCACACACGCACACACGTGCTCTCAAGTAAATACATAAATAAAATCTTTTAAAATAAAGAAATAAAAGATCTGGAAAAATTTAGAAAAGCTGGAATAGTACAACAAACAGCCACATACCCACCACTTAGAACAACTGCTCATGCTTTGTTCCAAACACACACACGCATACACACAGGTGGACGGATACTTACACATACACACGTAGACATTTTGTTTTAGCTGAACCATTTCAAAGTAAGTGGTATCCATGATGCCACTTCAGCCAGCATCTCCTAAACATGAGGACATTCTCCCCCATGACCATAATATATTATACCTAGTAAAATTAACTTAACCCATAATATCACTCAGTACGCACTCCGTTAAAGTTCCTCAAATGTGGCTCTTTGTGTTTGAAGCAGAATCTAGTCGATGATCATATTTAATCTAGAATTCTCCACCTCTTTTTCATGACACTGAATTTTTTTAAGACATCATGCTAGTGAATGACTTCCCTGCGTGGATTTTTCTGCTGGGTTCCTGAACTGTAGTTTTATATGTGTTTATTTTAGTAATAATGTTTAACACCTAGAGCCTCAAATTATAATTAATCTGTAGAGAGATTAGATGTAAACAGATGTGGATGAATTACTTTAATACACATACAGACTAATCTGAGACTCATCTAACTGTAAGTTTAGCTCCTGTTTGACTCTGCACATAAATGCTTTTAGAACTGCATTGCTAACGTCTGGGACGCCCCAGAACACGAAACACAGGCATTTCCCATACAAGCACAACAGGTAATTTATTAGGGAGACAAATCAATTTTGCACATATGAATCGTATTTAAGCTTGCAGAGCAATAAAAAGGGGTCTGACAGAAATGACTGCAGAGAATTTGGAGACAGTTCTGGAACTGGGGCCAACAAACGAATGAGGTTTTGTGGGTCTCAAGTTACCAGGCACCACTGTCCTCTCAACGGGGATGTGTGTGAAGAAAAATGAGAAATAGGTGCAAATGTGCCTAAAACTTTGGAATTTAAGAAAATCAAAAAGTCATGAGTTATTACTTCTATTTTAGAAACAGCCATCTGGCCAATTCCTGTAACTATACTCAAACCTAGAAATGTAACTCTCCTCAGCAGAACCAATTTAAAAGCAATGGAAACCACGTGCTTGCCTATTTTTTCAGGGGTATTTCCCTAGACTTCATTTCCAAAGTTGTAGGTCCATGTCAATATCAGCAGGAAGAGCAGAGGATTGGTGTCTGGGGGCAGAAGAACACATGAGAACCCTGAGATGAGGTTACAATGTTAAAGCCACAGTTTGACCTGGACAAAGATTTCGGTTTCAGAGGAAAAAAAGGCAATCGGATATGAGTAATTTGGTCTAAGAAAAAAGGAGGTCTTCATAAGATCATGTTGAGGTTTCTGGTTAAAAACAGACCAACAGTGTGTGTTTATCCCTTTCCTTCGTGCAACTCTGTTCAAATGCAGTACAGAATTAACCTGTGAGGAGCAAGGAAGGAGGAGAGAAGACAGCAGTGGATGAGAGCATTTACTGAATTTCTAGAAGGCACTTGCACGGAGGTGTGCTACCTAACCTGGCGGAGTCCCTGTTTTCCCATGCAGGTGGGACAAAGAAGAGTCCTGAGGAAAACAGCACTCAGTCATGATAGAAGTTCTAGTCTAAGTTCCCACACAGAGGGGTAACCAGTGAGTCAGAGCCCCTCTCAGAAGCCTGCTGCTATGGACTAACCCTCTATCCTCCCACCAAATTCTCAGAGTGAAATCTTAACCTTCAATGCGATGGTACTGACAGGTGGGAGGTGATTAGGTCATGAGGGTGATGCCCCCAGGAGTGGGATTCATGCCCTTATATTAGGGGCCCCAAAGAGCTTCCTCACCCCTTCTACCATGTGAGGACACAGTGAGAGGAGACGGTTGTCTGTGAACCAGGAAGAAGCAGCTCACCAGGCACAGAATCTGCTGGTGCCTTTTCTTGGACTTCCCAACCACAGCAACTATGAGCAATTTTTGTTGTTTATAAGCTGCCCAGTCTCTGGTGTTTGTTACAGCTGCCTGAATGGACTGATGTCTAGAAAGACCAGCAACAGGATTAGGGTGACTGGGGAGGGAGTAAGGTGGAAACCAAGACGAGTGGCCAAAGTCTATTTGGAGTGGCCAAACTCCAAGGTTCCCTTCCCTCATCCCCTCCCAAGACAGAAGAGGGCTGCCCCTTGGAGAAACTGGTCTGGGAAAAGTCTAAGTGGGTTTACCAGTCTCAGCAGAAAGCAGGGGCAAAGGTACAGAGCAGAACACAGGGCAGGCAGGTCAAAGCTTGCAGACCGAACATGGGACCTTCAACCCTTGCTCAGGTCCTGCATCCGGAATCCAGAATTACCTGTTTCCTTGTCCCTCATCTACCAGTTGGGCAGGAAACTGGAAGATGTTTCCCTGGAGAAAAAAAGGGCCTCAAGGAAACAGATTTCAGAGACTAGGATTTCCAAAGCAGGGCTCAGGATGGAAAATGAACTAGGGATTCCCCAAAGGGGTGAATTTAGAAGGATGTAGAGCTTATCACTGCTGGAAACTGAGCAGGAAGACATTTTTGTTTGCTTAATATTTAATATTTATTTATTTACATTATTTTAATTTTATTTCTTTTAAAGATTTATTTATTTTAGAGACAGGGAGTACATGTGTACATGCATGAGCTGGGGGCGGGGGGCAGAGGGAGAAAATCTTCAAGCCAACTCCCCACTGAGCACAAAGGCCCACACAGGGCTTGATCTCATGACCCAGGAGATCATCATCGGAACCAAAACCAGGAGTCAGATGTCTAACCAACTGAGCTAACCAGGTGCCCCAATTTTTATTATTTTTAAACTGAAGTGTAACTGACACACAATATTACATTAGTTTCAGGTGTACAACATGGTGATTCAACATTTCTATACGTTAAGCCGTGCTCCCCACAAATGCAGCTACCATCTGTCATCACGCGACACTATTACAGTAGCACTGACCACGTTCCTGGCGCTGTGCTTCTAACCGGAAGCCTGCATCTCCTACTCCCCTTCAGCCATTTTGCCCATCGCTCCGCCCCCTTCCCTCCTGGCAACCACTGGTTTGTTCTCTGTATTTATAGTCGGATTCTGCTTTGTGTTTGTTTATTCATTTGTTTGACTTTTCATTTAGCAGGAGGACATTTTTAAGGCAAAAAACAGGAGATCTATCTCAGCCTGAATTTCAGGAAACAAAGGGATACCCAACTTCCTGGAGATGTCCCGAAGACAGTGGAACACATAAAAATACAGAGAAACGTATAATTTCAGAAAAGGTCTTCCTAAGAGCAATACAGCAGAGGACACCCGCTTTAAACAGACATCCTAGATCTCATTCCTACAAACATGCTGGCTAGTTAGTTCCTTCCTTGGTCTGTCCATCAGTCTGTCCATCTGTCCATCATCATGCTGAAAGTGGTATATCCTTTCAGACGTTACTTTGTAAAAGGTATTTTTTGTTTTAAAATATTTTATTTATTTATTTGCCAGAGAGGGAGAGAGAGAGAGTGCACGAGCACTAGCAGGGGGAGCGGTAGGCAGAGGGAGATGCAGACTCCCCACCGAGCAAGAAGCCTGACGTGGGACTCAATCCTAGCACCCTAGGATCATAATCAGAGCCGAAGGCAGATGCTTACCTGACTGAGACACCTAGGCATCCTGTAAAAAAATAATCTTTTAAAATAATGAAATCTTTACTTAATGAAGGACATCGGAAATCACAGAAAGGTGTCAAGAAGAAAAAAATTACACTTATTACTCAAGGCCAACCATTCTTAGTTTTTCCTGTTTCTCCCCCACTATACACATTTATGAATACATATGACCAATCACGCATCATCAATCCATCAATAATACAGTATTATATTGCTATAAAATATTCCCAAACATGGCCATACCTTGCCAGAATCCTGTATCATTTTGACATTTTCAGAACCAAATTTATCTGAGTAAAGTTTAAGGAGTCTCTGGGAAATTTCTGACAGAGGCGTGAGTTTGGGTTCTTTGTAAATATACTCTTTTCCATCTTCATCTTCAAAGAATCCCTGTGACATAAAGCACAATTAGAGCTAGTCCCAACTATAAGCCCTAGGTTTACCACCCAGGAAGGATGCTTGTGTTATATGGGTTAAAAAAAAAAAGAAAAAAAGAAAAAAAAAGCAGGGGTGGGGAGGATGAGTCTAAAACAAAATCCTACTTCAACAGGCTTTCTGAAGAGGAAAGGAAAATGATAATAATGTGAAGTCGGGCTGCAGAGATAAAGGAAAACACAGAACTGCAAACTCATTCAAGAATGCTGTCATTAAGTGTTGAGTGAAATGGAGGATCAGGGATTCAAGACTGTTTTCTCGGGATCGAATGATGGATTCAAGCCTGTTTCACATTCCCAAGAAGCAGAGCTCACTAACGAGTGGTTCAGCAGCCTGCTCCGGGCGGGCCTCGGAAACGCACATACTCTCCCCTCACTGGCCTCCCCCATTTACACAGGACTTTTCGGCATAAACAAAAACATTCCAGTCTGGAGCAGGTTCCGCAAAAGTTATCTGAAGGGTGTGTAAGTTCTGTTTTGCTTTATTTATGAGAAAAATATGAAAGGGCTGGGGAACGATAATCAGAAAACAGTTTCGCTCTCACTGGTTGGCATGTGGTTCAGCACCCATCATGTCTGAATACAAAAAGGCTTAGAATTGCATGGGAAGTGAAAAAGGTTGAAAATTTTAAAGTCCAGATTGGGGTTAATACTTGAAAGAAATGAAAAAAAAAAAAAGTTTCTCATCTAAAATAAAAGAGAAAATGGTGCAAAATACATAGCATATGAAAAAAAAAATGCAGGCTAAATGAGACAAATAACACCCACATCAAACTAGAAGTTTAGATGCAGTAATTTCACTACATTACTTGCTTTTTAAGCATTTACTATAATTACCTCCACATCTGTTTCACTGTCTGTGAACTGGTATTGCTATGAAGTTATAAAAGACAATAACAGAGTAAATCGAAGGTTATATAATGCTCATAGAAAACCACACACCCTAAATAAATTATAATAACTTAATGCCATTTAATCATGTTAGAGACTTGGAGGTTAAACTTGCAGTTAAATTTAAATGAACCCTTTTCCACAGGGTTTCTGAACTATGACAAGGGTAAATAAACTTGTGGAGATATTATACTACAAAAGATAGAGATGCACAGGGAACACAGGAAACTGAAAAAGTCTTAATTTTCATTTTAAAACATGCAGTATAGATGTATAAGGAAACAGGTGATTTATTTCTGTAAATGGAATAAAATGTTAAATTTTTTTTTTTTTTGGAGTTTGTAATGACCAGACAGATATACATACAGACTGGAAAAGGAAACTTGCAAACCACACTGAGGTACCAAAGGTGTGCTAAAAATATCTTATGGAGGGAGAACTTACCGCTGCCTTAAGAAAGTAATAAAGAAAAGACAGAAAGAAAAAAAAAAGCAGAGAGTTTACTGCCAAGGAAGATAAGAATCATACTAAGTATGACAAATTCATCAAATCAGCATTTATAGAAAATAGAAAATTTATAAAATATAACTTCATAGAATTAAAAAAGCAAAAACAAAACAAAACAAACAAAAAAAAAAAACCAAGGACTTAGGAGGGCTGCAGAACAGAGAGGAGGCTTACCTGCCCAAAGAAGGCCACTCGGAAGTATGTCCCCAGGAGCCTGCGGCCTGAGTGCATGACCTCGGTCACTTTGCTGTAGGCCCGGTGTAGTGTGTCATACAGATGGGCCAGCCTCTGAAAAGCAGAACAAAACCCATTTCCTCCCACTTGCAACTAGTAGAATCAGATTTAAAACAATTAAATGAAATCACAGAGGTAAAAATTCCTTGGACTTGAGCAAAAGAAACAAAATGCAAAAAAAAAAGAAAAAAATCAGGAGTGTCTCGAGTGCATAATTGGTAATGACCACTTTTCAATTACAGTATTTTCCACCCAAAGAGCTATTTTGCATATTGAGGATCCATTAAATCTCCACGTTGCAGGAAGCAACCTCTGTTTTCAAGTTAACATCAAATGTCAGAGATGGTAAATTAGTCCTACAAATCACGATTTTAGTCTTTGCTTTTCCTACCTTCTTTGATAAGCTACAAGAAGCTGGACCACCTCCCTAGCCCAGGAATGGTGGCAGGGACAATAGCTTCCCGCGTGGAGGGAGCAAGGAGGAACTCTGAGGAAGAAGGAAGCTGGTGATTGTAAAACTCGGTTCTTGGCAATCTTTCAAAACTGGGTGCTACAATTGCCAATCCTTGTTTTCTGAGATTTGGGGTCCGTATGGAGGCAGGGCCCGTGTGGGCCATGTATAGTGGCTCGGCAGGTGGTGACCTCCAGCGTCACACGGAGGGTCAGAGACCACAGGTCACCTCTGACCATGGCCTGCTTGTTCTCTTTGCATGTAAGAAGGTTTGCGTGTATGTGTCACCCCATTGTCCTCTCAAACAGGAAAAAACAAACCACTCTGATACCTCGAAATCTCTTCGTTTCTCGTAAATGGGGATGATGAGTTTATAGATGTCAGCGATGAGCTCATAGCGTTCAGCCTTCCAGAGTCCATCTGCACATTGCTCTAGAAGCTCCATGAGCACATCCTGATCAAGAAAGAAGGCCACGGGCCAGAGAAGAGTGTTACAGGAAACATGACATTGTATTCTTTGCAGAATGTTTAACCAGTTAAGATGGCTAGGAGGAAAATTTCAAAATACATTACTTCTAAACACTAACTTCCACACTTGTAATAAATAGCTCATCACTACGTTCTTTTTTAATGAGCCACTTTCCAAACATTATAAGCGGAAATGAAGGGTCACATTATATGCCTGTGTAGTAGTTATATACGATGGGAAAAAATGGATACTGATAGCTTCACACAGGCTCTCAATCCGTGTTTGGTTCTCTTCTTAAAATTATAATTTAGAGAATTTTTTTTCCCCCAAGGGCACCTGGGTGATTCAGTCGGTTGGGGTCTGACAAGACTTAATTTTGGCTTGGATCATGATCTGCAGATTGTGGGATCGAGCCCTCCGTTGGGCTCCACGCTTGGCAGGGAGCCTGCTTGAGATTCTCTCTCTCGCTCTCCTCTCCTTTCTGCTCTCTTTCTAAAGTAAATAAATAAATCTTAAAAAAAAAAAAAAAGAAAAAAATTTTAATTTTTTCCTTTCTGAGAAACAATGACAATGCTGAGACATGAAATTACTAAGTGTGACTTCAAGCCAAGTCAAGCATCTCGGAACAGTTTGGTGATGGCACATGGAAGGCGTGATGCCAGCCTCACCAACAACCTTTCCTTGGAAGTTTCTATCTGCTGAAGTTTGGGTAGTCACCCGCCTCTTATAAAAGTCCTTGGGAGGACTTGGGAGGACCTCTGGGAGGAGCTAACACTTCCCATGACTCAGGGGTTAGGGCATGTGGCTCAGGTATAAACTAATTAGCATGAATCTACTTCCTGACCTCAGTCATTGTTTCATCATCTGTGGAATGTGAACTGAACGGGCCCATCAGGATGAATTTTAGGATCTTGTCCCAGAATACTGGGAAGGAAGTGTTCTCACTGGCCCAGACTCAACAGGTAGCAAGGAGCCTGACTGGGGCCGACAACCATCTCAGAGCCAGCCAGGGGCCCATGTGCCTTACTAACAGAGTGGAGCTCCCCCTCCTTCCCAAAGCAGCTACATCAAGGATAACTCTGTTAAACATTCACACTTATTGCTGTCTGTCTTTCTGGGATTTCCTAATGGAAGCCAATTTACTCAAACTTTATTGTTGAAGCCCATTTATGTGGGACTTCATCAATGTCATTGAGCACATTTTAATGTGCTTTTTTGTCATCTCTATAGCTTTGGTGAAGTATTTATTCAAATCTTTGGCTCACTTTTCCACAGGGTTGTTTATTGAGTTTTGAGAGTTCTTTACATATTTTGCATAAAAGTCCATTTTCAGGCACACGGTTTGTAATTTTCTCCCAGTCTGTGGTTTGTGACTGAATTTTCTTAACAGTGTCTTTTGAAGAGCAGAAGTTTTTGATTCTGATGAAGTTTATCAAGTTTTTATTTTCTGGGTTGTGTTTTACATATTAAGAAAAATCTTTAATACAAGTCCATAAAGATTTTCTCCTTATGTTTTCTTCCAGGAGTTTTACATTTAAGTCTATGATCCATGGAGTAATTTCTGAATATAGTGTAAAGTATGAGTCAAATTTTTTTTAAATGAATGTCCAATTATTCCAATACCATTTGATGAATGCTATCCTTTCTCCACTGAACTGCCTTTGAATCCTTGTCAAAAATCAGCTGAACCTACAATTAATCATAGGAGGGTTCCTGCGGGTGGGTGGGGGGAGATGGGGTAACTGGGTGATGGACATTAAGGAGGGCACGTGATGTAATGAGAACTGGGTATTATATAAGACTGATGATCACCGAATCACTGAACTCTACCTCTGAAACTAATAATACACTATGTGTTAATTAAGTGAATTTAAATTAAAAATAGAAAAAAGAAAAAAAGACAAGAAAAGTGTTAAAAAATGATCTTCTCTAGGTATCAAATATACTATGTGTTCTACTAAAGCAAAGAAAATAAATTGTATTATCTGAATGACTAGGGAAGAAAATCGACCGAACCATATGTGTGTGGGTCTATTTCTGGCTTCTCTATTTTGTTCCGTTGATAAGAGATGTCTAACCTGTGCCAATACCACCCTGTCTGGATTCAGCTTTGCAGAAGGGTGTCTCCACAGTGACACTAATAATATCTAGAGCCACACAACTCTTTGTCCTGCGGTCTGTCCCATGTACTATAGAATGTTTAGCAGCACCCTTATCTTCTACGACAAGACACCACTATCAGTACCTTCTCCTCTCCCCTTTTCCCCAAACTGTGACATTAAAAACCATTTCCAAACATTACCAAAAGTTCCCCAAGGGATGGGGGCAAAATCATCTCAATGAGAACCAACGCTTTATAATAACCTTAAAAGTCAGATAGTATGACTTTTCGAACTTTCTCAAAACTGTTTTGGCTAGTCTAGTTCCTTTGCTTTTCCATATAAATTTTAGAATTCATTTTGTCAATTTCTACCAAAACTCCAGATGGGAGTGTGATCAGAACTGCTCTGAATCTGTAAATCAGTTTTAATAATAGAATGAATTATATTAATTGGTTTTCTAATGTTGAATTTTTAAGTAGGCTAAACACCCAGGATGGAGCCCAATGCAGAGCTTGAACTCATGCCCCTGAGATCAAGACCTGAGGTGAGATCAAGAATCAGATGCTTAACCAGCTGAGCCACCCAGGCGCCCCAACAGTAAACATTTCTACAGCAGTTGGGAATCAATTTACCAGAAAATACTGTCTGACTTTAAAAAAAAAAGATCTTTAAAGTAAGGCATTTAACTCTTCTGTCATGTTTACAACATACAAATCATAAAATCATCATCAGTATGACTACACTCTGAGCCAAAGCTTATAAAGAGGTATACCAGTTGTCTTATACTTTTATTGCTGGTCTTTTAAGTGTAAACACTAAACATTACATAGTAACTACCATAACAGCTATAGACAAAGAAGAAATCAGAAAAGGTTCTAATACCATCTCTTTTCCTCATGCATGTATATTATTATAAAGATGTACATCTTTCTTAGTTTTGTCTCAAATCTCTTCCAATAAGAGAATCTGCCCAGGCTAAGCATGACGAATGTTTATGATTATTCTACCGGTCCGCTAATTATAAAAAGCTAGATAAAACCTGTATAATGTCAGTATCAATATACTTACCTTTCCATATCAGTAAAACTGGGGATATAATGAAGGTCTAATCTAATTTGGTGGTCAGGGGGATTAAATAAAATTTTACCCACCAAAATGCTCTGAAAACTATAAATCTGTGTTAGGTTAAATTCACAGGCCAGTTAAGCAAATCTCTCCTATTTCAATCTTTGCTTTCTACTTCGCAGTGATTTTTTAAAAATGGCATCTTACTTCCACTGGGCTATGTAATATCCCACAGTGCTAACACATATTCAGTAGTTGGGAATTTCTTGGAGGAATGAATTAGTCTGCATATTCCTTGGTAATATAACAGTATTATTCATAGATGCCCTTTGCTGTTAGGAAGTGAGCTAACAGCCTTGCACTGCTTGCACACCTTAGGTCAAAGACATTCTTACTGGGTATTTTCTGAGCGTCTTCTCTCTCAGTGTTGCTGAGGGATTATGAGTAGAGGTGGAAGACTTCTGGAAGGGTCAATTCCCCATCAGGGATGAGAATATTATACACCCAAGACATTCTTCTGATAATGGAGGTCAAATGGAACTTTACCCATTTTAAAACTATCCTTAGGTTTAATTTACAGACTATCCATTTGACCCCTTTTCTTGATACTGGGCTTTGTTCAAAGAGAAATGTAAACTTTCTGTAAAAACTTATAACTGGTTCCACTAGTATAGGATAATCCACATTACAGGTGTGAATACACGATGATGATGCCCTGTTTGTGGATGGGACCACAGAGACCTACAGATTCTTAATTCCATGTTCTAGTGCTTATAGCACAATAAGCATCTGGAGTCGTTTTAACGTAATCTCACAGAAAACAGAAAATTCCTCTCAAAGACTTATGAAACTAGGAGTAGTCACTACCGCATTGTTAACCTGATTCTTTCCTTCATTCACTCACACATTTTACCAAGCATCTACTATGTGCAAGGCACTGTGCTTGACACTGGGGTTATAAAGCAAATTTATATAAATAAAATAAAGTTTCTGTATTTTATAAAAATGGTTCTATAGATTTTTCTATAAACGTGGAAGGCAGATTTTAGATGGTTTATTAGGCTATGTCACATAAAGGACATTTGTTTTGAGGAGGCAGCCTTCAAAGACACACAGGTTATCCTTCAGAGCAGCTAGAACTGATGTCCTAGAGATTTATGACCACCAACTGGAAGATGTAAGGTACATGTCAAGATACCAAGGTCGAGGAAAACAGTGATTTCAAATACATGCCCAAACTGCAAGTCACAAGGGTAGATGCTCTGAACTGAGAGCAGTAGGGGTTTATTTATTTAACAGTAGTCAGTTTGTCTCTGGGTGAATCCGGGGAGGCCAATGATCAGCGAATAAAGCACTTCCTGCTCTCAAAGAGTCCAGTATGAAGACTGATCCATAAAAAGATTACAAAAAATGTGGTAAGTGCTGATAAAGAAACATGCAGGCAATCAGGGATACAGACAGGAATGGTATCCATCTAGTGCTGTGGGAAAGGAGAGACGCAGAGTGTTCTAGACAGTGGTGACTGAGTCTTACAAATAATCAGGAGTTAGTAAGGTGAAGGTAAAAGGTGGCCGTAGGAAGAAAGAGAAGGGAGACATTCCAGGGAGAGGGACCGACATGGGCAAAAGATACGGGAGGGGAGGGCAGCATGGTGGGTGAGAAATTTACAAGTAGACTGAGGGGTTATTCAGAGTATAAAATCTGAATTAGGGAGTGGCAAGGGATGAGGCTGCAGGGTGGTGGTGTGGAAAGGATTTAAACAGACTAACCAGCTATACTCAAGTGTTTTATGTCAAAAAGAAATTAATTAAATGTAGA